TCTATAATTCTTTTAAATGTACAGTATCCATATATGAGTATTTTTTGTAGATTTTTGGAAATTAATAAAGAAGGACAATGGCTTGTGATGGTAAATATGAAGAATATATAAATGATATAGATTTTATATAAAATTGTATATAAATTTTATAAAATTTCTTATAGATGTATGCACCATGGTGTGCACATTGCAGAAGATTAGAACCAATTTGGTCTCACGTAGCACAGCATCTGCATGCTACATCTATACGTGTTGGACGCGTTGATTGTACACGATTTACAAGTGTCGCACATCAATTTAAAATTAAAGGCTTTCCTACAATATTATTGTATGCATATGAAAAGATTTTATGTAACTTTTTAAAAATAGTTTTAAAAAGATTTCAAAATATAGTATTAATATTATTTGTTAATAGTTTAAAAGGAGATAATGAATTTACATACCACGGAGATAGAACAAGAGATGAGATAGTTAAATTTGCTTTGAGATTAAGCGGTCCTCCTGTACAAGAAATCACTAAGAGCCAAAGCTTTGATACCATTAAGAAAGAACGGGATCTTTACTTTTTATATGTTGGAGAAAGATCAGGACCATTATGGGTAGGAAATGATTATTTTTTTAATTTATCTTTGCAATTTATTCTATTTTGTTTTTGAATTGTATTATTATTTATATTTATAGGATTTATATCACAAGACTGCAGATGTGTTCCAACCACATGCATTTTTTTATCAATCTCATCCAAATGTTGTTAACAGGCATGCTCCTGTGGAAAATACTCCAGCATTATTTGTATATAAAGAAAATTTACATTATAATTTTACTGGTGGGTACAACATAATTTTTGAATATATATTTTTTTCTTTTCCTTTTTTCAAAATGAACAATTATGAATCATTATGTTACGTGATATTTGATTTTAGGTCATAATACGACCGATATAGAGAAGTTAAACGAAACTTTATATAAATGGATCAATGCAGAACGTTTTCCAACATTTCCGAAAGTAACAAGAGGAAATATTAATCAACTTTTTTTGACTAATAAAAATTTGGTTTTAGCAGTCGTAGAAGAGAATCAATTGGAAGAGGTATCACCTCGTATGATAGAATTTAGAGACATGGTTGAGTCTGTGATTAAGAAAAAACGAGAGAAGTATCACGAGTATGTTATCATTTAATGTAAGAATTGTTATATAATTATTAGTAAATTGTCTACTCAAATTATTCTAATATTTCCTTTGTGTATATATTATACAGCCATTTCCAATTTGGTTGGATAGCTAGTCCTGATCTAGTCAACAGTATAGCAATGATGATTCTACCATTGCCAAGCCTAATCGTAATTAATACAACTACGAATCATCACCATATTCCAGAGGATGAAACAGAAAAGTTGACGCCTCATGTGATAGAATTGTTCCTAGAGCAAATTCGTAATGAAAGTGCTCCGGTATTACGAATAAAATTTATCATTTTCTTTTGTTTTATATAATATCAACTTATACGAAACATTTTTTTCAGCGATACGGCGGAAATAGTTTATTAGTACGCATCTATAGATCGTGGTTTGAATTAAAAACAACACTTGCAGCGATGTGGATGGGCAATCCTATTTTAACTATGGTATTATTTGGATTACCTGCTGGTTTTCTTTCATTAATTTGTTACGGCATTTGTTGTCCGGATATTTTAGATGCAGACGATGAAGAGGAAGGTAAATGAGTTTTAAAACAAATTTATATATTTCTTTTATAATATTATGCTTAATTTAATTAATATTATATTGTAGATCATTCAGGAGGAAGTCATATGAAAAAAGATTAAAAATTATCAGAAATATGTGTCCTATAAATAAAGTAATAAAATCATTATTATATAATGTAAATATACATATAGAGTTTTGCTAATACTTTGGAATCAAGTAGGTAATAATAATAATAATCAAATATATTTTGTAATAAACTTGAGAATTAATTCTTTATAGTAATATTTTTCTTTTATATATTATTAAATTTTTAATTTATATGAATCTAGGTATTATCCCAATTACTTTGGTTGACAGAAATCAAGAAGGCAGAAGATATTTTACAGTATTTTAGTATTTTATTGTGGCTTCGTCTTCAACTATGTCTGATGATAATTGAAACGTACTTATATTATTACGATATCATCCTGGCCAAATAGAACATACGTAAGACAATACAAAAAGTAAGTCTAAGTTTCATCTAAGTCTTTTGAAAGTGATTTGTGTGATCCATATCTTTAAATTATTTATTAAAAATATTCGTGTGAGATATAAAAATTACACTTTATATATACATACACACACACATATATATATATATATATATATATATATATATATATATATATATATGTATATATGTATATATGTATGTATCTGCATTTAAAATCAAAGATAGACTTTTATATATGTCAAATTTTCGGCATACATTTAAGGTACTATTAAAATAATCGTGTAACAGTTTTATAAAATTGATTTAAATTATAAAGAAAAAATTTTTTTAGAAATGAAGTACAAATTATACGTTACATGTATTTTAGGTGTATATTATACTTACCTACATCGAATAAAGTTAACTATAATTTCATGTATATTTTTATGGCTTTACTAAAATTATAGAGATAAATCAAAATTGTATGATCTTATTGAAATTACAAAACTAAAAAAGGAATAATACATTAATAATATCATATACTCTTCATATAAATAGCTTGAGTGGACGTATATGTTATATATACATATACATATATATGTATGTATGTATGTATGTATGTATATGTGTATATATATATGATGAATGATTCATTTTATTTATTTTTATACATAGCATAAAAAATAAAAATGTGGAGTTAATTAAGTATAAATATGCAATCTGAAATGTCATTTATCTAATAGTTAAAGAAAATCATTAAGATAACACAAATATTATCACCTATGAAGGCTATAAATCATCATCATCCGAATCTAAAGCTGCTCTTCGTCTGTCAAACTGGAAGAGAGATTTATATTATTAATTTATTATTATTATTATTAATAATTGTTTAAAATCTTTTTAAAATATATATTAAAAGGCAGTACATACTTTAACTACTGTTCTTCTTTGCGTTTGCTGATTTATACTTTCTAATAGACTGATCAGTTCTTTTTCTCCTAATTTGTTAGGTAATTGTCCACGTTGTGCCATGTTTAAAATCATTTCCTCTACCATTTTTCCTTTCTCCGGCTTTCCAAGGCAAAGTGTGTTCACTAATTTATAAAAAAAAAAGGTATGTTATCATAAATTTATTTTTATTTCTTTTTTCTCTTCTTTTCTTTTTGTTAAAGTAAACCATTTAGAATATAAAATTCTCACGTCTTGCTCTAGCTGCCTGATCCAGTACTTGCGTAAGAAGGGAATTACGCATATCTTCCATTTGCAGTCTCTTTTCTTCCATTGCTTGTTTATTATCGACATTTCCACCCTTAAAGATAAGTACATACAATTATTTATATTAATCTATTTTATATGTATATTTTGTATGTGTATTTTCTGTGTTTAGTATAGTTTTTATATAGGTTAATGTCATTGAAAGTTAACCTTCAAAAGTTAAATACTCAATTAGAATTTTACTTAAAATTTTCTTTTAATAAAATAGAAAATATTCAATTACATTACTTTTTGGAATTAGTTATTAATTTTAAAATTGTATTTTGTGATATAAGGTCTAATAATATATACTTTGTAGAAAATTACCTTATATTGAGATTGTAATTGAGCTAATCGTTGTTGGCGTATTGCTTCTAATTCTGGGTCCGACATTTTTCTTATTATTTTCTTTTTTTTTTTTTTTCTTTTTAATATTTTTCAAATCTTTACAGAATTATATAAATTTAATGTAAGAAATATAAAATAACCCACAATATTTAACTATATGTTGAACCGACAGCTAAGATTGTCTTACGAACAATCACGAATGTTACCGAATATAGTCAAATCGATTAAATATAGAGCATACTTCACATCAGTAGATTAAACATATATATATATATATATATATATATATATATATGGCTTTATTTAATCGATTGTTAAAAATCGATTAATATCGTTTTATGTTAAAAATTCAAAAATATCAAAATAAATTGTTTCAATCCTTTTTATTGATAGTTTAAACGGTTTCGACAAAATTTCACAAATTCTTTTTAATCGTTTCGTCAAATATCAAGTAAATAAATGATAATTAATAATTTCTGATAAACTTTCATAAACGTGAAATTAATATTATTTTTTATTTTCATAAATAATAAATGATAACAGTACATTCGCTATTAGCGTCAACAATTGATATAATCTTATTTTATACACTTTTATATAGTTTTATATTATTATTACTACTTAGCTAAACAAAAGCATCTGTATATATATATATATAATAATAATAAAATTGGCATGTATACTTTATATATGTATATATAGACGCGCGTTATTGTGCATCGATAGATCAAATGTAAACGTTTCGAAGATAAATGGTTATTATATAAAAAAGGATCGAGTATAGAAAAATTGATAAACGGTCCGTGCGTTTTCGAAGCGCATTTCTTTTTTTATTTTTTTTTTTTTTTATATGTATATTTGTATGCATATAATATCCTTTATCTGTTTTGGCGTTTAAGTAAAAAAATATATGGCATGTGGTATATATATAAAAAATGGTGAGAATCATATAAAAAGGTACTTTTTATGGAAATTACTTAGAATGATCTAAAGATGCACGGCGTCGTATCATCGTTCATTCTACATCGCATAATTATATTCCTGAGTTACACGACAGGTTTTGTATATTGGCAGGACTTTCGTAGTACGTCGTAGTATGGCGTAAAGAGGACGTGCCTCGCTCATTTAACACATACGAAAATCGTATAGTATATGTACTATTTCTTCTTTTTATCTCTCTATTAATTTATCTAATTATATATATATATATATATTTTTCTTTTTTTTGCAGTACGTATCTTGTGCGTTTTAATATCATGCTCGTGATATAATTATATCATTTTATAGACCTGATATTCAGCCTTTCACGTATACATGAACATAGAATATTATGTAATAAATAAATCATATCTTATTAGTAGGCAGTACATGTAGCTAAAGTATCATTTCTAGGATCATATTTTCTATTAATAGCATATTGTATAACTTTGTCTAAGAATTCTTTTTTTTTTTATACTCTTTAAAGAGTTATCTATCAATTTATGATTACTTCAATGATCCATAATGAATTAGATCGTATTAGTACTATCGTACCAAGGTGGCATCCAATTTGTTGGTGTTCTTGGTCTTCCTCTGGTCATTGATAAATTATTTTCTACGTTATAATTTTTTTCCAATCTTTTTCTACGCGTTTCCCTTTTATTACAACACTTATTGACATTATCCAAAACGACGAAGGATTGCTCATTGTCCAATTGTTCTTTGGTATCATTTCTACCGAAACTAGGAGAATACGGTCTATGAATGTTGTTTCTATTCAAACGATCAGGCAATGGATCATGTGATCTTTCGGAAGACTCGATTGGCGTTGAACGTTTACGTTGACCAAAACCACGTGGTTCATCATCGACGTTGCAAACGTGAAGACGATAAGTTGGACTAGGTGATCGATTTCTTAATATAGTACGATCATCAATAGGATCTGATTGTATTGGTTCTTGATTCTGCGATGTTCTATAATGTCTTAACATATTTCAATATTAAGAATTATTTTGAAGTAATGTTGATAATAAAATTATTTAAATATTTTACCTTCTGTTACTTGGTGGAGGTTTACCAATGATACTATCCTCATGAATTCGAGTATTCAATACTTGAAAAGCATCCTGATCTTCAGCAGCATTTACACAACCAAATCTCTCGCTGTTATTATTGTTTATCCAATAATTATCTTTCTTTCTTGTAGCACTGAGACTTCTCTCACTATTTCTTTGTTTTTTAAGATCACAGGAAGATCGATAATAATCACGTTGATTACAATAGGCATTTCTATATTCTGGTTGTAGATCGAGACTACCTTCCAATCGTAAATTAGCTGGCATCCTCAGAGGTTTGACACGAGGAATGTGACCATAAGGAACGTATTGTGATTTTACTTCGCTGGTTGGCTCGTCGTAATCGTATCGTTTGGTCTCATAAAAATTATATTTGTTACAGGTAGAACGATCAGAGCAAACTGCAGTGGTTCTTAATGCCAACGGTGGTTTACGATAAACGAAGGAATCTTTAGAATAATCAAGATACTTCGATTTATATTCTGGGTCTTGATCAATTTTTGTTGAAAATTTCAAACGAGTTGGCGAAGAGAGTACTTTGGAACCATCAGCTCGACCAATCTCGTCTTCGGGTTTTGCGAATGTTGGTCGTTCTCTTGGAAAGTCCTATTAAGAATAATAATTATATATTTATTGAAAGATTATTCACAAGGTAAAAAGAGTATAACTATAAAATTAATAAAATTTCGATACTTTGTAGGCATCTTTGTATTCTGGAATTTCTAAGGGTGGACTCTTCAATTCTTCCAATTTCGACACTAACATTTGCATCTCTTTGTCCTTCTTTGCTTCTTCCTCTTTCTCTTCTCGTTTTCTTTTCTTTTCCTCTTCTTCCCTTTCTTCTTCTTCGATATCTCTTGCTAATTCTGCCATCAGTTGAGCTTCTCTAACACGAGGATTGATATAATTGTTCTTGTTTTCCGTAATCTCGAAGAACTTATTACCAGTTTTCAAATGGGTTTCAGGTTTCCTTACTGGTTGTCTTTCTACAATGAATGATCTAAGACGTAAAAACAATAGAAACAGTTGTGGTTAGTATTAACGAAACGTTTAACGTCTATCAAGTCTCTCGATATCCTTTCTCACCAGTGACTGCGTGCTCCTTGAAAACGTCAGAATATTCTGCCACGAAAGCTGATGCACCCTCGAGTTTTAAACTCGTACCTTGCCTAAGTAATTCTGGCCTTCTCGCCCCAACAAAAGGGACGTATTTCTCATGATTTTCTGTGGTAGTCTCGAGTTCACCCTCGAGTTTAAGTTGCGTTGGTACACGCATAAGTTCTGGCCTGCTGACGTTTAACCATTGAATGAACTTCTCACACTTCTCGGTCATTGTTTCCATTTCACCCTCCATTTTCAAGGACGTTGGCCTACGAGCTAATTCCGCCTTATGTTGGCCTTGATGAGGCACGTAAGCTGAATACATTTCTGTGTCCGTGTATAGATTACCTTCTCGCTTTAAACTGGTACCTCTATTTTAAATAGGGAAAATATTTTTTTATATAGTTCAATCAAATTTATACATTATTTATTGTTTCTAGGATCCATTGGATCGAAGCTTTCGTTATCAATAAATTTAATCATTCAATTACGTACCTTCTAATGATCGGTGGTCGACCTATCACGTTCGTATGAGCGATAAATTTTGATTGTTCCGTTTGAGTTTCCATTGTTCCGTCTCCTTCAGCAAGAATAAAAGACGAATTTTGTTCCGTTCTTCTCGATGGAAGCTCTAGTTGTTCATATTTTTGAAAATCTTGACTGTAGTATTGTTTTACATCATTGTCGACATCATCTAATCGGAGAAAACTCGATGGTCGTTTGCTCTTCACTGGCCAAATATTTTCCTCGGGAAAGAAAAAAATAATAAATTGTCAATAATATTTTAACGATTTTATTTCGATCTTCATTTTAAATCATTAAAAATATATTCTCTGATAGTTTACCTTAAGAAGTTCTTCACTTTTTGCACGAAAAGCGCGACGATATTCGGTTAAAAAATCCTTCTCAAGTACGTCGAACTCGGCACAAGTACCAACATTATCTTTTGGATGACCCTCCACGCGTCTTCTTCTATAACGAGCAAGTTCGTCGACCGTCAATCCATCCGCGAATGGCCATCGTTCCTTCAATTTATTTTTTCGTCCTTTATTCTTCTTATCCTGGGCTAGCTCAGAATCCGATGATGACTTGTTGACTCCATAGTTTGATCTTTGTCTTAAGTGAAAAATACAAATTCCTTAGATTATTTAAAATATTTATTTATTATATATATATTTTTTTCTTTTTTTGTTTTTGAATTTATAGGAATAGACGATGGATAATTTAAAAAAAAAATCAACTATCTCATCATTGATAGTAAAGAAAATTTCTCGAGTAGTTCTTGTTCGAGGCACGATCCCAATGGATGCTCAAAGGCAACTGAAATCTTTAAACGGTAGTGAAGCTGATACCGACTAGGAACGAAGAAAGAGACAGATAGAGAGAAAAAGAGAGAGAGGGAGGGAGAGAGAGAGTGAGAGAGAGTGAGTGAGAGTGAGAGTGAGTGAGAGAAAGAGTGGAACACCCTAGAGAAACAGAGTGGGTGGTAGAAGGGTTGAAGGAGGCGAACGGAGAACAGGAAGAAGGGTGGTACGAAGGTACCCTACATGCCGTTACAACAAAACGGCCAGACGCGACGCATCGATCTACCAAATAAGAAGAATAGTTTGAAAAATAAATTCTATTCTCCTCCTTAATGACTCGTCAGCATGAAAGCAAATTACTTTGATGATCATATATATATATATATATATATATATATATATATATATATATATATATATATATATATATATAAGTATATATATATATATATAAGTATATATATATATATATATATATATATATATATATATATATAAGTACATCATTATACATGTATTTATGCATATATTCCCGTATGTTATACATGCATACATTTGTACGTAAATTGTACATACATACATATATGCATATATATCCATAGAAATATGTAACGTTATCATTTTGTCGTGTATCGGAAACATTTTCCATGAATAACAATAATAATTGCGCGATAGATTATGACTTTCCGTGTCTACAATCAGCAATATTATATCTTTCCCCATCGCCTCTCTCTCTCTCTCTCTCTCTCTGTCTCTCTCTCTCCTCTCTCTCTCTCTCTCTCTCTCTCTCTCTCTCTCTCTCTCTCTCCTCTCTCTCTCTCTCTCTCTCTCTCTCTCTCTCTCTCTCTCTCTCTCTCTCTCTCTCTCTCTCTCTCTCTCTCTCTCTCTCTTATTACCAAGTATAAATGACAATGTTATACAAATTGTAAAGATAAAAGGAGTTATTTTCTTCATTTTGTTAAAACGAATTCGTAAACGCAATTTACGAAATAGAGTCGACGTTACGTAATCCAGGTTATTGCTCCTTTAATTGGAAGGAATACTAAGAATCATGCCACGATCCTCAACGTGACCCACAAAATGGATAATTGATTGCGATTCGATAACGTCGCTTTCGTGATAGACACGCGATTAAACTCTCTCTCCCTCTCTCTCTCTCTTCTCTCTCTCTCTCTCTCTCTCTCTCTCTCTCTCTTCTCTCTCTCTCTCTCTCTCTCTCTCTCTCTCTCTCTCTCTCTCTCTCTCTCTCTCTCTCTCTCTCTCTCTCTCTCTCTCTCTCTCTCTCTCTCTCTCTCTCTCTCTCTCTCTCTCTCTCTCTCTCTCTCTCTCTCTCTCTCTCTCTCTCTCTCTCTATCTCTTCCTCTTTTTTAAATTACTCAAGATCGTTTCGATTTCGAACAATTTATGAATTATCAAAAGTGTTTTGGAATCTTTCCAAGTTACCATTTTGATTTTGTATTATTCCGCCATTTATCGTTATCGAGCTTCATTCGATATTATCGAATATCAATAAGATCGATATAATATCGATAGAAGTTGGTTATAGGCTATGGAAGAGCATAAAGGTATCAGGTAGCGTGGCCGAGCGGTCTAAGGCGCTGGTTTAAGGCACCAGTCTTTTCGGAGGCGTGGGTTCGAATCCCACCGCTGCCAATTTTTTTTCTCTTTTCGTATTTCCTTTTTTCTTTTTTTTTTTTGTTTTTTTTTCTCTAGGAGAAAAATATCTAATGAAAAATTATATCTAATGTTGTCGTTAAGGCATATTTCGTTTTCAATAACATTTCACGAAGTCGAAAACTTTGCTATTATTTATCCGTTTCATTTTTGTAAGTATTCCATCGGAATTTCAATATAATAAATATATGTGATACATACGTATGCTTTGTCATATTTGTCATTTAAATTCCTCGGGCGATTTCAGACGAATCTTGTTAAAGAAACTTTTTCGAAACAATCGATAACAATCAAGGAAAATTTTCCGGTTAGGTTTCATTTGCCACATATCTTGTTTTCTCTAAGAGACAATGTACACTGATATTTGCATAGCCATATGAAGGCACTACGTAATAATGCATATATAAATAGTATATGTAGTTCTTCAGACCGGCGCACTGGAAGTTGTATAAATATGTATGTGACTATAAGTCCATACACGTAACTTTTAAATATTTTCTTTGATAATTGAAATATTAGAAAATTATAAACAATACATAAAAAAATAATAATAGTACAATAAATTCATTGAAAAATAACTATATAACTATAACAAAAACTTTTTTTTTTTTTATCACGAAGTGATGAGATTGAATGATTTATCGTTGCTTCTTTTCTTCGTTTGCATTATGCAAATTTAGAAAATGTTTCAGCAAATTATTCGAATGTATTTTCTCCAAAAATAGATACAAATATATATATATATATTCGGTGGACAGGGTCAGGTACGATTGTAATCGCAGAGAGGGGTCAGATACGATTGTGATCGCAAAGATCTCGTGCGTTCTTAGTGATCCTTTCGTGCCTGAGATAATCACGACGACGACAACGAGAACGACAACGACCAAGACGAGAAACGAGCACCAGGAATCACGACGACCTAGTAACCCAAATTTTTCTTAACCGTTTGTCCATGAAGGATTTGCATGCGCTGCCAAACAAATGTCCAAAAGGTGTATGCTTACGCACCCGTAAAACAGTTCTAACCAATGGTCAATAATTTTCCAAAGGACGTGCGATTCAATCTGGACGCGTTTCGTTGACGATACTCGCACGCAATCACTTCAAAGGGGGAAGGGCTAAAAAGGCTACGAGAAAACGAGATCCTTATATACCTTTACTTGGCTCACCTCTTTTTCCTGATTATTTATTGCATACTTTAGAAAAAGTTAAGTTAGCCCTTTGGATAAAAAAATATTTAGATTTATTAGAGCTACCTGATTACGTTCAACTATTTTCATCAAATAACACAAATGATTCGACGTTTTAACGAAAGAAAGAAAAAAGAAAAAGAAAGTAATTAATATTACATTTCAAATAAAAAAGTTTCTTACATTTCAACTATGTTTCTGATATTTTTAAGTTCTCATGCTTTGATTTATTCTGTTGCTTTCGCATATCGATTAGGTCAAATCGATCATATCAATATATGCAAGTAGTTCTATCAAAAGAAGTGCTCCACCCTTGCCTATGCACATTGATTAGATAAGTTATACTCTTAGAATCCTTTAGGCGAAAGCAGGAAATTAAATACGGACTTAAATTTCCAATCTATTCATTGCCTAGCCCTTTCGTTCATCCGGCTGGTTTATCTAACCTACAAATTCGTTGATATAATTACGAGCTCTTCTCACATATTCTATACTTTAAAAAATCATGATAATATCTTCAAATGTTTTATAAATGACTTTCTTTCGTTCTTTGTAATCCTTTCCTTATACATTTAGGTCAATTTACATTTAGGAAATTTCTTTTATCTTTTAAACAAAAAATATTCTTCCTAGTTCTTTCTTTCTGTCTTCTTATCATTCGACGTTTTCTATATAGATGCATGGTTAAGTGTATTTAAATTAAAGTATTATGCGTGGCACGTGAATTAGAGATATGGCGCCAATTTTAAATTTGGCGCTAAAACAAATCGGTAACAAATGACGTTCAAGTAGCCATTTGCAATTTTTAAAATTATATTTTCTTCTTAGATTGTGTATTTTTTTCGAACAGAGATGTTCGATCGTTATAAAAACAAGTGATAAGACGAATGATTTCATTAATAAAAGAGGAATGAGAAATAATTATTTATCGGATTGAATACACGTCGTGTGAGGTTAACAAATTAGGTCGATTTTCGATGATGAAAATAATTACCTTTTACTAGAACGTTCTCTCCTTCCTTCGCCCATTGCATCGTCCTGTTCGATAGACAATTAGAAAATCGATCGATTAAGATTCGAGCAATTAGAATAATTAATTAAAAAAAGAATGAAAGAAATTTCGACGATTCAAAGGAATAACCAGCCGTGTTGGATACTCTCGCTAGCGTGACTGGCTTTTTGGTCAAGATGCTAATGAGAAGGTGACGACGACACACCTGCGCAGCTGCAAAAAGAACAGATTATGTTCTTGAGCAAGCGCTGTGTTTGTTCTTGAAAATAAAAAATGATGTCAGTACAAATCCTTTAATAGGAGTCTCCAAAATTACACGATCTTAGCAATTTTTTGAAATCGTTATTGTTTTAAAATTATGAACATTACCAACAAAGTTTTTTTCCGATCCAAATGCATATCTGATGAATGTTGCTTAATTTGCTTTTTTTTTTTTTTTTTTTTTTTTTTTTAAGAAGAAGAAAAGAAATATGATCCATTCGTCGTTAGAAGCTTGTTTTCATTATTTCCATTAATATATTAATTATTTCAATGTTAATTGTTATATTAATTGAGTATTATCGAACGTCTATGACTACTAATTATGTTTTATTCTCTTTCTACCAGTATAGGATAGAAAATCAGGGATGTAAACGTTTAACCGGTCCCTACGTGATGAAATATTTGTATAATCTTATTCTTGCATTGGAAAATTCTTTCAATAATTGCATTTAATAATGCACAAGTTTTCGGTCTAAAAAATATATTAAAATATAAAAAAAATATCCTGTTCTTTTTACATGAAAAATATTACATGAAATCCTAAAAATTTAGGTTAGGTAAAATGTTCACTTATTACTTAATTTAATTAGATAGCTTGAATTTCTCTTGTAGCGAAAAAGAATAATTTTTATTTTTAGATTTAATGATTAGAAAAATATTTTAGGCTCATTTTAATGATACAGCCCTATCGTATACGATACCTTTGAGCATGCGCAACACGTTAAAGTGACGTAATCGTTGTCACCTATTTTTAACGTTTACAGTTTTCATTCTTCAGTGCGGTTCTTTATGAGATAAATTTAATTAAATCTTTGTATTTTTTTTCCTCAATAATAGAATATATTAACAAATAGTATAGATTACAAAATTGTATACATGTTTGAGAATACTAGTTTCAGAAAAAATGGTGTTAATCAATTCGAAAAACCTATCAACAATAAGGAGTCAAAAAGAATGGGGTTAAAAGGAACATTGACAAAAGAATGGATTATTATTTTTTTAGTATTTTTATTCTTATTGTTGATAGTCCTTGAGAAAATATATTTTAATTACGGTAAGTTGAACAAGATTATCTGGTAAAGATTAACAAGTACTTGAATTTATTTTCTTTTCCTATCAGTGGATTATCTTCACACTTTATATGTTCTTATTTTTTTTTTTTTTTTTTTTCATAATAAATAAATAAATAAATAAATAAATATATATATATATATATATATATATATATATATAAATAGTATCTGATTTATATTTTGATTCTTGGTTAGATTCAACTATTTTCTTTTTGTTATAGGAATGTCTGTAGCAAACATTCAAAGTATATTTAACAAACAAAGTGATTTGCTACATATAGATATATTGTCACATCTATATGATTTACCTAATTTATCAAGTATTTCCGATATGTCTGAATCTGTCGCCAAACAATTAACAATGACTGGTACACAATTTATAAATACTACTAATCATTATGAAAAAGCTATTGCTGACGTAGTGATAACAGTGTCTACAAAATATTGGTGGTTAATAAGAGCAATACTAAGTGGAATGATAACGACTAGTCTCAGTTGGTTAATTATTTATATGGATAGTCGTATCCCTGGAATTGATCCACCATTTCCTCTTAACCTTTTAAGAAAAGGAGAATACAGGTAAATTATAACAATTTTTAATAAATTAATTGGAAGTTATATTGCATATCTTTTATAGAGTTATGATAAGTATAACAACTTTGTTGGATATATGTACTTATTAAAAGATATTTATAAGATAGTTTTATTTCAGGATACAAATGATATCGCAGATAAATCTTAATTATCTTATTGGTGCATTAATTGGATTATTAGTTTCTATTTTCATGTGTTTTGGGTGATGCTTATTTTGCTTCTTAGGAAAGAGCAAATAAGGTTTGTGTCTATATAGACACTCTATGAAATACTTAAATAACAAAGTAATTATTTATAAAAATTCAGTATACATGCAGAGTGTTCCTAAAGTTGCGTATTGATACTAATAGCAGATTATTAAATATCATTGTATCAGAAATCATTTTGTACTGATATTGATATTTAGATATAAACTATTTATTATTTATTGTTATCATTAATAAGAAGAGTTAAAAATTAGTTCGTAACTGATTTTGAAGGATTATAGTATTACAATTCTAATACATACAACTTAAAAAAGTTTTTTATATTGCAATACGTATATATATATATATTTGATACTTATTTATTATTAAATATTATTAAAATAAGTAATATAATATTATAATAATAAGATAATTTTCATTATAAATCGATTGAAAGTTTCTAAAAACAATGTACATAAGAAACTTAATGTATAAGTAAAACATACATGGTACAAATACAGAAACATGACATTATATTTAAATTCCAAAAAAGTATTTTGTTATATATAAATATTATTTAAAATTGACTGATTGTAAAAGAACTTTATTATTAAAACATTAAGATTAAATAATTATATAATTAAAAAATCTTTATAGATGAATTATAGGAAATTTCTTTTTTTTTTTCTAGATTAAAACATATGTAAATTATTAAAAGTTGTTAAAAAAATTATTAAGAAAATTTAAATGACTAATACTATATCCTAGCTTCTAATAGTTTAAATTATTTGATATGTTTAATTGATTAATTAATATAATTGTTAAATAGTTTTTTTTCCTGTCATTTCTTCGTTTTTATTATAATTTTAATTCTTTTTCCGGTGGTAGATTACTTAAATAATGCTTTATCTTATCCATTGATACATCTTCTAAATGTGCAGGATTCCATCGTGGTTTTCTATCTTTTTCATAAAGAGTAGTGTTAATACCTACAAAAATAGAATATCAGGAATGTTAGTGAATAGAATCTTACATATAATAATTGTAATAATTTATTAGAAACGTAAATATATACCTTCAAAAATATCGGAACCTTGTGAAAGTAAACGATGACCCATTCTACAGTCCATTCTCGCACAATCAGCAAGATCTAAATCTTTTCCCTTTTGAATAATAAGAAGAGCCGACTTCAAAGAAGTTGGTGATGCTGCTTTTATTATTTCTATAATTTTTCTCGACCATTTCGTATTGTCTTTTTCCAATCTTTATCAAATGAATATGAGAATAGTAACGTAATAAAACTGACAATACATTTTATAGAGAAAAAAATAAGATAAATTGTGTACCTTTCTAAGATTTCTTCGACAGTAGGGGCAGAGAAACAATTCTCAATTATGTCTATATACTGATTAAGGCCAAAATTATTTTTTGATGTATTAACATGATATTTATTAATAATTTCTTCTATATTGGAATTATCAGATTTAAGCAATTCATTCTTCAAATCTTCTAGTTTTTCCGAGGGAACGAAATGACTGGCAATACCAGAATGAACAATGTCACTACCTAACAGAAAATTTTTTACGTATTAAGATTTGATAAAATTAATATTTCGTAGAATATATGTATATATATGTATATACCTTTTAATCTATATCCAGTAACGCCTAAAAAATATCCTATATGATTTTGTAATCTAGGAAACGTATAGCATGATGAGGAATCGGGGAAATAACCGATTAAAACTTCAGGCATAGCATAGAGTGATCTTTCTGTGACGATTCTATATTTAGCTTGTAGAGATATAGCAGATCCTAATCCCATTGTTAGATTATTCATCAGAGCTATAAATGGTACTTTTAATGTACTAATATAATAACTCATTCTGTCAAAAAAATGTTTTCTTATATATTTTCTTTATGATTAGGTATGGTATTGGAGTATTATAAAACTTACGAGTAATATACTTGAAATGTTTGTGTTTTATGCCAATCATAATCATCATTTCTTAAATATTGATAAGATAGAGGCATTCTAAGATATCCTCCTGAACAAAATGCCTTATCACCAGATCCTTCTATTATTACTAATTTTTTATTATGGTTCCACTTTTGAAGTGTTTCATTTATTATGTTACATATTCCTGGTGTAAGAGTATTTAAAGTTTTTGGTCGATTTATAGTGAACAAGCCATTATCTTGATACTATTGTAATAAGTAAATAATTAATATTTTTCTTTATCTTGTTGTTAAAAATGAAAAGGAAAATGAGCTTACATCCTTAATTAAAATGTCATTATCACATCCTCCCCAAAATGAATTCTCCCATATTTCTTTAGACTGTGCAATCAATTGATTTATGTCCATTTTATTGAGGTCTGAATAAAAATGAATATTTCAGATTAGAAATGAAATAATTTAATATGCATTATTTACATGTAATTACCTAGACATGTTTTATGAACCATTCTACGAATGTCAAATCTATGTAATGATTTCATTTTTAGCATGGTTTTTAACTTTGTTTGAAAAATAGACACAGATACACAAACACAAAATATAAAAAAATATATGCGATTTAACGTATGTCTATTTTGTTTAAACAAATATTTCACTATAAAGATATTAATATAAAAAGAACTAAGAAAATAACACGAAGTATGAAAAACTCAATAAAATTCGTTTTAAAATACTCTTATGTATATTCGCTAAGTCACCACTTTAACGAATGCGTTCCGTCTTCTCGTTATCCTCAAATTTATACTTTTTTGTTTATCAGTTTTTGACGATATTCTATACATATTCATCAATTTTGACATTTGTTATAGGCAAAAATATGAATTATTTTTAAGAAGATATTTTTTACCTCGATATTATACAAATGTAATAATATTATTTACAAATAATTCCACCACTATCTTTAAATTATTTTTTTCATCTGAATCGTAAGAAAAATAAATATCTATCTTCTTATTTATAGCTAAATTAAATTTCAATTTATCATATTTCATAATACTATATATTTTGGAATTCATTGACAGTAGCGATTTATCGCCCATATTCTTTTATTTTTTCTTGTATACGAAATGCCTAATTTATTCATTAAAAAAAAAAAAAGGGAAGAAAAGAAGCTTGTCATAATTCATAAATACCAGAATCAAGTTTGTAATCATAACAAGACTAATTAGGTTGTTCACCTTTCAATTTACATCCTACGCATGGGCCAAATTTCGTCTCTTTATTACCTATTTTGTGGTTCTTAATTCAATGAACATTTTCTTAAATAATTTATACAAGGTTGTTTTATAAATTGCTCTCTGAATGTTTATTTTATTTTAAAAAAATGTAAGGAAACTTTTTTTATTTTAAAAAGATAATAAAAATTTCTTTTCTTGGGAATAACATAAAAAATTTATTTTTTTTTTTTTAAATTATAAAGAATTTTTATTGTTTTTCTATTTCTTGGTTTTTCCTTGAAAAAAAAGAACTGTAAAACTGATATCATGCGATAAAAAATTTCACTTATCTAACGTGAATATATTTTGAATACAATACATCGAAATGTTTCAACTGTGATGAGTTATATATTTATTTAAATATGAATTCAATAATATAATTTAATAATATAATGTTAAATATAAATTAAATGATAATTAAATATAAATTCAATAATATAACATTAATTTTTATCAAATAATATATTTTTACAATATAACGTATTAATACAATATATAATTTCTAAACAAGAAAAAAGAAAGGAAACTGGATTATTAGAGCTATTAACATTTTATTATTTGGAAATAATAAATACTATAATAATTACTGGGATAAAAATATTAGAAAAAACGATGCTTAAAATATGACTATCAACATTGTTAAGTTTGGCCATTTTGTGACCTTTATTGTTATAATCCATAAGTTCGGAAATTACGTCTTTTTGAAATTTAATTATATTGGATATATATAAATATAAAGATAACTGTTTATCTGTAAAGAAAATAATTATAATTTTTTAAATTATCTAATCACTTGAACGTTCAACATATAAAAATGAAATAGTCTTATCTAGTAATACAAACCATCTATTTTAAGAATACTGAAATATAATCAATTATAAAATGATTAGGAAATATTAGGAACATTAAAATTATAAAAAATAGAGGAAAAGAATGAATAAGAAAAATTAATTCCTGGATCTGAAAAATATATTTAATACAATTAATTGATACAATTGATTGATTAATTAATACATTTTAAACGAACAAATTTCGGCGCCTCTAAGAAGATGGCGCTAGCTTTAGAACAGGTTAGTAAACATGAAGTTAGTATTGTTAACGTAACCTAAATCGTAATCGAGTGATATAAAATTATTACAAATAAATATTAAAAACAATGTTGAAAAATATTGTTCCTGTTAAAACGATATGTTCGACGTTTCCACCGTGGAAAAATGGAATACGATCGTTTTTTAATATAAGAAAAATAAAACGTGCGTTTAAACGTTATTTTGATCAGTCAGGAACTAAACCTCCTTATTTTCATATTACGCAAGTTGGTGATCCTGTTTTGCGGGCGCCAACTTTGCCGATAAATCTCGAAGTTATTCAATTGTTTCAATTTCAAATGGTGAGTTTCTTAATTATTTAATTAATACAATAATCAATAATATCGTTAACCTAACCTATTTTTTCAATGTTTATACCTATATAAATTTGTTAATAATTAAAATGAATGTTTAATATATAATATATAATATATAATATATAAAAAAAAAAATATTCTTTAACAGGCCATAAAACAAATGAAAGTAATTATGGAAAATTATGATATTGTTGGATTATCTGCTTGTCAAATTGGTTTACCATGGAAAGTTTTTATGATACAAGTTACAGAAAAACATTTAAAAGAAATCGGTGAAAACTTGGTAAAAATTCGTGAAATGGAAGTGATACCGTTCCAAGTATTTATTAATCCTACCATTCGTACTATAAATCATAAATTAGTTTCATTTCCTGAAGTATGTGCTAGTGTTCGAGGTTACTCAGCAGAAGTATCTAGAGCAAGAGAAGTTGAACTTAAGGCTATAAATGATTCTTCCGAAGAAGTTACAGTCAGATTCAAAGGATGGGGAGCTAGAATCGTTCAACATGAAATGGACCATTTGAACGTAAGTAGAATCTTTGTTTCATTCTGTTTGACTTATCATGTATCAGCTGACATTTATCATTCTATTAAAAAGAACTTATAGAAATGTTTTTAAAATAATATAACGTTGAAATAAATTTCACATTTTTTATTATCAATAATCATTAATCATTAAATAATAATAGTTGATAAATGCAAATTTTCATTTTTTTTTTCCATTTAATTTCTTGTCAGGGAATATTATTCACGGATAAAATGGATAGACGAACGTTTTCTTGTTGTTGTTGGAATGAAGTGAACAAGCATAAAGGATTCATTGAGATAAGATTCGATTCGTAAAATTCATATGAAAGATTTTGAAGAAAATATATAGACAAATATATATATGTGAGTATAGATAATTAATGTATAATGATATCTAATGATAAACATATAATAGCAATATAAAAAATATGGAACTTTTATTAATGCATCTTTCAGGATACAATTAATAGCAGAATACACGACGTTATATGTATATAAGATAACAATGCGTATACATCTATATTCTGCATTGCTTTTTCATTGGACACATGTATCGTACCAATGCTTTTCTGATATTATCTTTTTTCTTTTTTCTCTTTTTCATCTTTTTCTTCTTTTTATCTATGTATTTACTAGAATCCCAGATTTTAGGAGAGAGAAAGAGAGAGAGAGAGAGAGAGAGAGAGAGATAGGGAGAGAGAGAGAAAGAGAGAAGTGATTATCAAATCTATGACTTATTAATCTTACATAGAGTTTCACACATTTTTTTGTCGATTATTCTCTCACGAGATCTCATATTTCATTATAACATCAGAAATGCATACATTGTGTAATGTAATTTTACATACTGATAGTATTTATTTGAAAGGTATCGTTCATTCGATAAATTTGATATATGAAATTAATGATCTTCCTTCCTTCATTTGTTTTTTCATCTTCTTTAGGATAATTGTACAACAGGTAGAAAGATTTTATTTAAAAAATTTTTTTATACACCATTCTTTATGGTAATAATAATTTGATTCATGGTCCATCACGTAAAATTTTTTCGATTATTGTTAACTCTAATGATTTCTTTTATGACTCTTATTCCTTTATTTTTTTTTTTTTTATTTTTCTTTTTATTTTGTATCGATACTCGTCGAAAAAAAAGAAAGAAAATAAACAAAATAATTTTCATCGTCATTTCGTCAATATATTTGTTTCATGATATTAAACCGACATTTTTTCCTTAATTCGTTCTTAATAATTCTCTATTATCTCTCAAATTTTTGTTTACCTTACACACAATTAATTACAATGATTAATAATATTAACTATTTACATTCGTATTCTTAAAAAGCGTTTGGTTTTCCCAGAGTACTTTTTTTTTGCTCCGTAATAATAGCAGAATTTTTTCGTCTAAACAAAGCTCCTTTCGCAAGTATACTTTTTATAATGTTTTTCTTTTTTTTTTCCTTTTTATTTTCTTTTTATTACTTCTTTCATTATCAAGTATAATTATACGAATCTTAATTATATTTGTTTAATCTCTCGTGCGTTTATATGACTAGTATCGATAACTTTAAATTGTTGTCGACAAAGAATTTAACAAAGATAATATTTCAATTATAGATTACTTTTTTTTCCTTATTTTTTTTTTTTTGTTTACAATTACAAAGTTAGGTCGAATTTCGTTCATTTACAATTATTTCTTATTCCATCTCGACATTTTTAATTTCAAATTAATCTCTTTTATCTGCATCCTGACGCAACCCTGACGCAACGAAATAAAAAAAGAAGAATATATTTTATCGGGAAAGTAATCGACGATTTATAAAAAAGAATTCCGTCATTGAACTTAATGATTGACTAATTAATATAAAATATTACTTGAAAATTGTCTGCCTTATCTATCGAAAAAAGAAATGTAATTTGTTTTATTAATGGAACTTTTCGTGAAGAGATTTGTGTTTGACTCGATTATAATTATACATCTTTAAACATCAGTTCGGTTATTAGAATATTATGTATGTATGATAGGAACAAGCAGATTAGGTACATAATGAAACATTTTCTTTCATCTTTCTAAAATATTAATAGATGAACTTACAACAAATATATTCATGTATTTTCAACTAACGTTTCGATCGTGTGTTTTTCTTTTTCTTTTTTATTTTTTTTTTATTTTTCTTTTTTGATTTTCATCTTAGAAAAAGACTATTTTTTATTTTTCACCTTATGGAAAGTATAGTAAATGTATAGTCATTGGTCCGTTTTTCTTTTTTTTGCCTTTATTTCTTTTTTTTTTTCTTTTTTTTTTTTAAATATAATCAATGAGATGACGGTAACGTTGAAGGGGGGGAAAAACAAAAAAGAAAAGAAGAAAAGAAAAGGAAAAAGAAAAAATAAAAGCAGGAATGCAATTGGAAAAAATATAGCCTCGTGAATCTGTGGTATGGTAATTCGTCGTATGATGTAAGAAAAAAACAAAAAAAGAAATAAAAAGTAAAAGTATCATGGTAGGAAGAAAAGAGATCTATTATATCGATGGGAAGATATAATGAAGATTCTCTCAACGTTTGGTTTTCAGCCATAACGTAGAACCGGTTTAAAAGGTCATAGGTGCTAGTATATTTTTATGGATATAAATCTCTTTCATATCCAAGTATGCACTTGTTGTTGATGTTGTTGTTGTGGTTGTTGTTGTTGGTGTTGCTGCTGCTGTTGTTGTTGTTGTTGTTGTTGATTAGTAGTAGTAGTAGTAGTTGTAGTAATTTCCTGATCCTGTCAGGAAACGTGCCCTCTTTCTTGATTATTTCTCCATCTTCTTCCACGAATTTGATGTCCCAAAAAATGTTCATTTCCTTCTCCTCTCGTTGATTGTAGATGCAGCGGTATTCGTACCGTGCCTGTTAAAGTATATAGTCATGTTTTTCTTTCTCTCTTTCGATCTTTGTTATATATGTGTATCATATCTAAAGCAATCAAAATTATTGTGCGTTTGTGAGAAAAATAATTCCGAACGAAAAAAGATATGTATATATATGTATATATTTGACTCCATTGGAAATATTCGACAAAATAAAATATCTCCCTTACGTATTTTTTATTTCACGAGTATTGTTCTCTTGGGAAATAAGAGGAAAAATCAGAAATTTGAATCTCCTCGTCTCTATCATCTACCTTTCTCAGCTTTGACGTAACGCATTTTTTATCTAACTAAAAAAAAAAAAAAGAAAAAACAAAGAAGAGGAAAAAACAAACAAGTTATATAAAAAAGGAATATCAAACATAAAATGATCTTCTCTCTTGATTATTATATAATCTATTGTATGTATATAAGTCGTAATTTAAAAAAAGTAGAAATAACATAAATGATAAAGTATAATTGTTAATATATGGAAATAATATATATATATATATATATATAAATTCTTATGAAAAAAATTAATTACACTTATTTTTCTCTAACATAGATAAATAATATCATGTATAGTCATGCAAACAAAACTATGAAAATAGAAAAACGTAAATTATAATAAGAATTCTAGTGATATATATATATATATATATATATATATATATATATATATATCATTTATACATATTTCGCGTTTTTTTTTTGTTTGTTAACATATATTATTCGATTGCAATTTAAACGAAAGATCCTGCATATCGATGGGAAATTCTTGAGATTTTTATGTGCTTTCAAAAAGTGATAAGCATGTTCCAGCGTGCGTTTCAATGCAGGGTTCATTTCTTGATGTTGTTGAAGTTGACGTGTAAGAACGTTCCGAGGATGTACACGATGACGTACCGTTCCGTGATATCCTCGTATTAGCTTCAGGACTTCCGGTGCAACTATATCGTGATGTAACTGCTTCTGAACGAGAGAGAGACGGTTCGGGGATGACCCTTACCCATGGGCACCATGAAAAAAGTTGAGCGAAACCACGACGAAATCTAAAGGATCAAAGACAAACTTAGACATATTTTAAATAAAATAACAAATATATTTAGATTATGACGAATGAAAAAAAAAATTGTTTTAGACACTTATCCGAGATGTTTCAAATATTTTTTTTTAATTAAGTGAAATTAATTAAAGTCCAATATAAATTCTAATACGTACATAATGTAAGTAAAATCTTACCTAGAATTCATCCAACAATAAATAATAGGATTGTACATGCTATTCGACATGGCTAGCCAATAGATACCAAGAAAGACTTCTTGAATGTAAGATTCGTTTGTGATCTCTGGCAGATACGATGTTACTATGAAGTACACGTGAAATGGTAACCAACAGACTGCGAATATTACCACCACTACGATCATCATCTTGACGACCTAAAAAAAGAAAAAAAAAAAAAAGATATCAATATCTATTAGGATTATCTAATAAATAAAATATGAATATTTTTATTAATATTTTTATTTTGAATTCGATTGTTCATGTTCATTAGTTTTATTACTTTCATTGTTATTATTATGGTTCTGAATCGAACGTATCTTCCTTTTGATATTTCATCGATTTTCTGTAAAACGATAATCTTACCTTAACAATCTCATCTTTGTAGATTCCCCAAGTAATTCTAATTTCTCGGTTGGTAAGGCACGAAAATTAACGTAGTTAGTTTAATGAGAGTTGGAGTACGTGCTTTTTCGTTTATAGAACGTTTATTAAGTAGATACGATTGGCTTTGTAATATATAGATTACGATTATTAGAAATTCTTTAATAATTTCTTTATATTCGTAAAAATAAATAAATTTTAAGATCGTTTTCATTTAATTCGTGTTAACGTTGTTCTTGGTCATTATCATTATTATCATTATTGAAATTTTTTTTTTCTTTAAATGAAATTATTTCATATCTCAAACTTATTGTAAATTTTTTAAATTTTATGTGTGTGAGAGAGAGAGAGGGAGAGAGAGAGAGAGAGAGCTAATAGACCAGATAGAGAAAAAGACAGAGACAGAGAGAATTATTGATGGTTGTCCGTTCTCTGATGGCCACTGCGGCCCTGTGGTTTTCGTCTATGGAGAAAACTATTTTGTTTTCGGTAGTTAGGAACGAGTACCGTTTCGTCCTTCACTTTCTCTTTCTCATCGTTTAGTATCTAAATCTCTCCCTCTCTCTCTTTTCTTCTTCTATCTCCTCTCTCTTTTTCTCTCTCTTTGTGATTTATGATATCAATTGAAATGATATAGGATTTCTCTCGATTCAGTATATGTTTCCTTTCATGTTTACATTTTATTCCGAAGTAAATTATATTATCTTAATTGACATCACTCTTGAATTCGATTATTATAAATTTATTAATTTATTTACTTATTTTTTTTAATATGCTTTATATGGGACGGTAAATATGGAATTTTTTGGGTATAATATGTGAAATTGATTTCAGAAAAATTTGACTTTATTAATCGTTAAAAAGGAAAACAAATAATAGCGATGTTTCTTATTTGTTCTTTTTTTCTTTCTAAATAAAAATGCATAAGATTGAATATTATGTAAGAGGAAGAAAAAAATAAATATAATAACAATATATATATATATATATATATTTTTTTTTTTTTTTTTTTTTTTATTTAATAGGAAGTATTAGATTTACTCTGTCATATAGAACAACAAATGTAGCAATATTTTTCTACCTAAAAATAAATAGAATTTACATATATATATATATATATATATATATATAGTAATATATATATATAGTATGTAATATAGTATAGTAATATATATATAAGTATATATATATATATATATAGTTGATATAGTTTTAATATTTTATTTATTTATTTTCTGTCGAGAAAAAAATTCGGATGGACCAGCTTTTATATCTTGTCATTCCCCTATTACATTTTCGTCGAATATTCGTTCAGATGTAGACGGACTTTTAGACGAAGATGACTTCTGTAGTATATCGTGGTAGTAAAACTTCCATTACTGTCGATATTACGTTGAGTACTTAAAGTACTCTCACCATTCGCCAATGTGCACAGATATTTCCTGCTTTTTGACGTAAGAATATCAGCACTCAACGTTATAGTTATTATCTGATCCTACACTCTTCTCTTTTCAATATATTATATTTTTCGATATTTATGGATTTGTTTTTTTATAATAATTTATAATTTACAATAAGTTACTTTGTTCTGTTTTTTTTTTTTTTTTTTTTTTTTTTTTTTTTAAGTATCTTCTCCATAGAATAAAATTATAGTCGATGTTTTGTAATTTACAAAATGCATATCCGATAATCACCGTTCATTCCTTTAAGTTCCTTTTTTTTTTTTTTTTTTTTTTTTATCAAAGAAATAGGAAGAGCTCGTAAGAGTGCACTTTTCGTCTTTCGGACGCACGGATAGATTTAAGATCTCGTCGTTGATTTAGTTTAAACATCGAATAGAGTTGAACGAAGCTCAATGGTGTGAGACAAAACGTAATTCTCTTTTTTCCTTCTGACGTTGTAATTTCTGGAGCAAAACGTTCGAAGTTCTGCAACAACCAACCGTTCTCCTCTTGTAGTTGCAGTCAATTCTTCCACGTAGATTCTGACAAATGACTTGGTGAGATACGTTGTTAGAAAAATTCTTCTTGAAAAATCTTGAAATTTCTTTCTTCAGTAATGACTTATCGATTTTAATGTCGGATAAAAGAAATCGATGAGCTGAGAGACAAAAAAGTATTGTGATAGTCCAATAAGAATTTCTTTTTAAATTTATATTATTATTTATTGATGTTGAAAAGGGGACGAAAAAAAAAAAGAAAAGAAAAAAATCGTTTAGATTTCTAATTCATAGTTTCGGCGGCATTTAAAAAAAAAAATTAATCTAATATCATGGTAATATAATAATATTTTCATACGCGATCCTAACGATCACGATAAATCGAATATTTTCTATTTAATACGTTCTGTCGTTTGACCCTTAACTCTGTCGTACCTATTTGTAATTGTTTGAACGTATACGTATGTAGGTCGCATTTTCTTCGTATAACTGTGATTCACTTTGGCTGGATGTTAGTTGCTTGTGTGTTCCGGAATAGAGAACTGGGGTTTCACGTATACAGAAGAGACGAATCCTTTGTCGCTTAATCGAAATCCAATAGAGGTAGTAGTACCTGAACAATGGAATCGAACAACTAGCTATCGTTCAACTAAATTTTATCTTATCCTTTCTTACATTTTCTTTTTACATTTTCTTCTATCTTTTTTTTTTTTCTTTTTATTTCTTTTATTTCTTTATTTTATATATATATATATTTTTTTTTAATAAGAAAGATAAATAATAATTTCCTTCGGTGGAATTTATTTAACTAATGGAGTTTTTCGTCCTTCAAAAAAAAAAAAAAGAAAAGAAATAGTTAAATAAATTTTTCCTCTTGAGTATATAGATTCACCAGAAAATTACATTTCCATTTCTTTCTCCTTATTTCCTTCCAATTTGTCTATCTTTTTGCGGGAAAACTACGAACGTTCTTTCAAAGATCCTTTTTATCTCGTAGCAAAAGAGAAAGAAAAAAAGAAAGAAAGAAAAAAAAACAAGAGATAGAGAGCGAAAAAAGATGATGAGAAAAGGAGAGGATGTGTCCTTCTTTTTAGAAATTCATAGTATCCCCGGAAATTAAATCTGACGATGAGCTCACGAAACACTTTCATAGATTCTCTCTCTCTTTCTCCCTTTCTCTCTTTTTTCTTTTATAAACCATGCGAAAAATGGACTAGTTTTTCTTATCTTTTGTTTTCTGTCTGGATTTTTATTATCTTCATTTTTATTATCATACTATTTTGTTATTTAATATCTTACGAATAATACCTTGAGTAAAAGAAAGTGAAATGTTTTAAAATTGACTAATTTTGCTTAAATTTTTTAAATCTTTTTTCTATTGTTTATATATATATATATATTTTTTTTCTTTCTTTTAATCGAATAAAATTTATACGTCTTTGGTATCATCATTCATGTTTACTTTCAACAGAATATATAGGAATATCTATCATGAATATGTCGAGCATAAATCACATTTCTTTGATTGGCCAAAAATAAGCGTAATATCTTTTATCGTTGATAGTGGAAAAAGAAACAAAAAAAAAATAAAAAAATAAAAAAAAAAATAAAAAAAAAATAAAAAAAAAAATGAAAAAGAAATCAAAAAAAGAAAGAAAAAAAAAACAAAATAACGTATCCCAAGCTCGAGAAGATTTATTGCAACTTGTCGATCCCTTGAAATCTATCGTTTTAATCATCGCAGTGATTTCTAGTAAAGTGTAAAAATAAACGAGAACAATTTTTTTTTTTCCTTTAGACACATACTATCACCTAACATATGTTCCATATTATTTTACGCTCTCGATGCTATTTAGTTTAGTATATAGTTTACGATTCGATTATTTTCGATTTTCTTGCAGATTACAAAGTTATCGCAAATTTTGTATTATTTATCAGCCCTGTATATAGTCGGCATATGGTCACGATATGAAAGAAGTATTATATGTGTAGGCACCTGCGGCCAATACGTTTCATCGTTATAACCGTCCGTGTGTAGCCAGATGTTAATCTTAAACATAATAAAGTTACGTCATCCGTTTATCATAATTTCACGAAAAAAAAGAAAAAAAGAAAAAAAGACAAAAAAAAAAGAAAAAAAAAAGAAAGAAAAAAGCGTTTGTTTTGCGATTCAAAAAAAAAAATTTCAAATTCGTCTCGAATTTTACATTTTGTAATTGATGATATACATACATCCATTGAAATAAAATCGACATGCTTTCGAGATGCATTAAATTTAAGTAAATACTTCATCTTAATTAGTTTTCCTTTACACGTTTGCTTTCAAGCATCAACGATAAACTTAGGTAAAAGCCAAAATAGATATTCCAAGCGCCTAGAAATTCTGTAGAGGTTGCTCGCACTTACTATGTTTAGTATCTATGGTGATAATACTGCTATAGCTTTTATGTTCCCCTTTTTATTATGCAAATTATCGATAACAATACGTTATGAAGCTAACAGCTATACCTTCAACTTTCTACGAACTTATGCTTCTATTTATGGATATGTATAACATATTACTTACTTTTATCTAAATTGTTGCAAATGAAAATTGCTATTTTTGTTCTTTTTTGTGTTTTAAATAACGCTAGTAGTTAATATAGTAATCGTTCAGTCGAATGACGATTTCATTGTTTTTCTTTTTTCTTTTATTTTTTTGTTTTTTTTGTTTTTTTTTTTTAATTGTAATATTTACGCCGATGAAGAAATGAAATAACTTTCAAACTTACGCTCTTTCTAGATCACATTTTTGAAGATCCCATTGCATAATCATGATTAATATATTTTATTGTTTATATTTGCATTTTGTCTTTAGAATTTGTTATATTTTGGTCGATAGCATAGTTATAATCATTTGGTATATTGTCCATTGTGTAAACGATATAATTGGCAATGCATTAAATTGTAAGCGTGCACTGCATGCATTCCCGATATGGAAAATTAATTGAGCAAAACAAACCATGCGAGATCACGCGTAAATTCAACGTTTGAATTTTAAGTTCTAGAATGAAGAGTATTTTATATGTGAATTTTCATTATTAATTTTTTTTTTTTTTTTTATATCTTTATCAAATTAATATAAAAATTAATCGTTTTATTTCTATGGGATAAAAAATTTTTTTTTTTTTTTTTTTTTTTATGAGACTCCTTTAAGATAGGCAACCCTTCATCGCGTATATGCAATAATGTGTTGCATATCAGTAGGGGTTAAAAAAGTTATTTACTGGCGCTGACGAGCAACATTATTGACAATGTATGGAGTGCTGCCTATCACTAGGGATTATAATTTCAATACATACTTAAATATAAATTGAAATAATTAATAATTAATAATGATAATAATTGAATGGTCGATATATTATATGAAACACAATTCTATTGATAACAAAATGATTAGAATCGACTAGCTTTCGGCACTAGCTGGCCTAAATTAGCATTCGATCGATAGAATCGAAAAGACATATCATTTTATTCAATGAACCCTCTTAAATTCATATATATATATATATATATATATATATATATATATATATATATATATTTCTCTTCCTCTTTCTCTTTCTCTTTCTTTCTTTCTCTTTTTCTCTCTGGTCTTAGAAAATGAATTCGTTCATTGAACCGAACTCGATCGGTTAGCCATTGACCGATAAAGGCTTTTTAATCGTGACATTGATTGCTTGGCGATAGTTTTTTTACTCTTTTCGCAAGAGCACTTCAACTTAATCTTAATCGAGAAATTAAATTTCATTGTGTTTAATTGAAATAAATAAGAGGAAGAATAAGTAAGATACTTGAAAATATAAATATCTTAGGATAAAAATGTTTATATGATGATTGAATGATAAAAGAAACGAAAAAGGAAAAGAAAAGATAAAAGAAATAATGTAAAAAAAAAAAAAACACCATTCTCGATCAAAAACACCATATTTAATATAATTTGGCGAATTTACAAATGATTTAAGAAAATGTACGAATGAAAAAAAAATAACAAAAGAAAAAGGTATATATATATATATATATATATGTAGGATGATAAATAGTTGTGAAAGATGATAAAAATGAAATGAAATAATTGGAAAGGTAATAAAGCTTATTATCAAATTCGAACGAACGAATGTTGATTTTTAACGTTTGACTATACTCATTCTTGGGTATATTTTATGTGTGTCTTATCATTTGCTATCGTATATGGAACAAACATCATTCGACTTCCGGCTTTGCGTGGGCGGAAATTGTGTAAGGTTAATTAATCAAGCTCATTTATATAGTTTCTCTTAGGGTACGATATACTTTGGAGGGCTACAAAATGTCGAAGGACGGTCAACGATTACTCAACTATCCTTTCTCTTTGTTTTCTTTTCTTTTTTTTTCATTTCGTCTCTCTCTCTCTCTCTCTCTCCCTCTCTCTTTCTCTCTCTCTTTCTCTTTCTCTTTCTCTGTCTCTCTCTACCCCTGTCGATTTGCGGCTCGTTTCATTCTAATTAAAGTGATGTCCACTTGGACACGTCGATCGGTTGGCTATCCATTGAATGTCCGATAAAAGGTAGATACCATGGTTCCCACGAGATATTCTCATGTATTTTCAATACCTTCGAAAACCTTCGATTTTCTTTACGATCGATAACAGTTATCTATCTACTAAAATGTGTCCTAAATTCCATTTGATTTAATATATACATACATACATACATATATATATCTATACATTACGAAGAATTTCTTTTTTTATTTTTCTTTCTTTCTTTCTTACTTTTTTTGTTTTTTTTTTTTTTTTTTTTTTTAATTTATTTAATTTATACGCATGTATGTATATACATAGAGATAAATAAATACAATACGTACCCTTCGTTTACTTCGAATATTTTCCAATTGTCTTGCCGTAGCTTCACCGATGCTTTGCGAGCCCCATAATTCCGCACCGACTCTGGCATATGTGAAAGTCATCGAGCCGATTGGTAGAAAATATGTTAGGATCATAAAGATTACGTTGTATCTGTGAAAAAGGCCAGATGATATTTTAATTTTTATCGTATTTCTTTTTTTCTGTCTTTTTTTTTTAAGTAGAAGCATATATTTAATGTCACGTATTTATACGTACATTGGTTGGAGAATTTTACGTTAGGCAAAATGAATTAGCTCGTTATAATTGGACCGCAAACGAGCGAACGGTAGAAAGCAAATTACGATTAAAAGTATGAAGGGATGAGAGAGAGAGAGAGAAAGAGAGAGAGAGAGAGAGAGAGAGAGAGAGAGAAAGAGTTGCTTTTAGCATGGTCGAAAATGGAATATAATATTACCACTTTGAGTTGACGACCTGACGAACATGATTAATCGTTTGCTAAATCTCATTAATCATTTTAATTAAGACGCATAAGAGATAGAATAGCCTTTTGAAATTAAATCTAAAGGACGTTTAATCATCCTAATCATTCTTTATATTTCATTAAAACATTATTGTTAAATAATCTTTGTTCTTTTCTCTCTTTCTCTCTCTCTTTCTTTCTCTCTCTCTCTCTCTCTTTCTCTCTCTCTTTTTCTTTATTTTGTCTTATGTTAGATATTTTCAATTTGATTATTCATTTTTGATATTGATTAATCGTGAAATATTTCAATTAAAATTTAATTAAAACCGGAATCTTTTGTATCTATATATTTTTCTTCTTCTTCTTCTTCTTCTTCTTTATATATATTTTTTTTTTCTTCCTCTTTTTTACTTTTTCCTTCATAAAGGTTGAAAGTTTAAAGGGATCTTTGTTATCCCTTTTAAAAGGATAGATCGTTTCGTTAAATTCTCCGTGCCGATCGTTAAACCTTAAGATTTCTAAAGTATTCAGATAATCGCTAAATTAAATAGATGAACTTCCGTTTGAAAAAGCTACCCTTTTGCATTTACTTGATTGTTAAGTATCTTTGGGTATAATTCAATGACTGATTAAGTAAATTAGAAAAGTCTGGATTTCTGTTTTCATTAAAAAAAAAAAAAGAAAAGAAAAAAGAAGAGAATAATAAAATGAAATCGACTTATCAACTTATCTATCGTTTGCTCAGTTACCTGATTCCTCTAGTAATATTATTATTATTATTTTTATTATTAATATTATTATTATTATTATTATTATTATTATTATTATTATTATTATTATTATTATTATTATTATTATTATTATTATTATTTAATAGCTATTCGTCTAGCTGTTCGATTAAGTATGCACTTTGAGTACTCAAAGCACTGCTTCCGTTCGATAAATTGCTCTTTTGTTTAACGATTAAAGGATGGTTATTTGTGCGTGCACATGATCTATCATATGCTAGAAATTTCAAAGTAATCTAACCGTAGATAATTCAATGTTATATTTTACATTATCCCGAGGAATAATAAATTCAATATTTAACGTGAGATATTATTTTAATAAAAACAAAATTTAAATTAAATAAAAATTTCGTTTGATCGTTTATCAATGTAATATTAATTGTGAATTTAATGGGGAAAAAAAAAAAAAAATACAAAAGACTTACGTTTCACGTATAAAATATACCTATAAGATTATTCTTAACATTTTAATGTACTATATTGGTTTTTTGTTTTTAAAATATTTTTATTTTAAAAAAAATATTATGTCAGATTATTTAAACGAATATTAAATATTTTTCACATGAAATTTCTCGGACAATTTAATTGTTAATATATTAAACATTAATATGTTATAACGACTTTAATAAATATCTTTTCATTTAAGGATTAATAGCAACGAAACAAGAACTTTCTAAGGAATTAGCTTTCAATTTAGATCGGTGGACCGCGAATGCGATCACGAGTGCAGTTCGCAAATGTAAAGGTTCTTCTAACTAGTTTCTCTAACTCGGAGAATCCATCGTTCTGTTGGATTAGAAGTGGAACCACGTTTTGCCTTGTGAGGACTGTTATCGTGATTCTGTTAAATGGAGCTTATGAAATTCACTATTTATCACTTGCCATTATTAATAATAATTATAACAATTTCAGTAGAATATTCTGTTGGAAATGTTTTGTAATTATTTTTTATCGATTTAATTATATGATACATATATAATAAATAATATATATATATAAAATTATATTTTTACCCCTACTTATATGCAATGCATTTTTACACACGTGTAATGACGTGTTGCCTATATGTAGGAACTCGAATGGATACTGTTTAATCGATTTGTTATTTATTAGATTATAATTAAATTTAAAAAATTATATTTATTTATTATAACAATAGATATAATAATACAAATTAATATGCAATAAAATATAAATGAGAAATTGTTTTAGGAATCGAGTAATTACAAAGAATTAAACTCATAATTATACTATACTCAACGTATTTCATAATACGTATTTGCATTGATTGATCTCAAAGGAAGATATTTCACTGAATTTAAAATTAAATGCTTCAATAATCATCAGATGCTAGATTCTTCTTTGAAATTATTAATACGGTGATACTCAGACACATTTAAAATTCGATTAAAATTTCAATTAATATTTATGTGTCTTATGTATCGTAATCATTTTATCTTTAATCGTAATATATATCAACGTAATTATTACCAACATTTTTGTTTATTTTATCATCTTATCTCTTTCTTTGAGTTTCATTTTATTTTACAAAAATGTTACAGCTTATCCGTTTAAAGCGAAAATGTGGGCGACTGATGATGGAACGTTGAAATTATTCGCTCGATTAAAACGTCCCACGTGTTGTCTCGAAGTTAACCGATAATCTCTAACGTTAATGAAATCATGATAAGCTAATTTCGTGTAACTTAATGTAAGTGCGTTACAACCGAACGATATGGAAATAGTATATATATATATATATATATATATATATATATATATATATATATATAAAGATGAAAAAGAAAGATAAGCACACAAATATATATATATATATATATATATATATAAAATTGTTTAATATTTATTGCAATAACCATAAGCTAGAATTAAAGAAAATAAAAAAAAAGGAAAAAAAAATTCATCAAGAAAAGAAATTAAAAAGCTAAAGTAATAATTCATTAATTATGATTAATAATTATATCAACTGTAATTATAACACGATATATAACACGATCGTGAAAAGGAATGTAAAGAAGGATAATGATCGAAATAACAATATCAAAGAAAAAAAAAAAAAATAAAAAATATAAGAAAAGAAACAGGAAAAAAAGAAAGAAAAAAAAATAGATGAACGCCGCAAAGAAAGATTTATAGATCTTATGGTGTTCCATCTACGCTTATGTGATAGCGTATAGGTAGGTGATACGAATTTTACGATAAAGCTGCTGACCGGCAGGTTGAGTCGTTTAAGAGTCATAAACTAGTCACGCTGTAATATCTTTGTGAACCTGACGAGCATGCGAACAGCTTTGCTTTTATGCTCATCGAAAAGGGTGAAAGGGGGTACTTTCGAGCCCCTTTACCAACACTTTTTCCTATTTAAACGTTCGAACGTTCCCACTAAAATCTCACACTCACGCTTTACACTCATCCCGTCAACTTTTTTTTACTCTTGTGCCTCTTTTTTATTTTTATATATATATATATATATATATATATATATATATATATATATACATACATATATCGATTCTGAAACATGCTAGAACGTTCCCATCAGATTTTTACACCTTTCGTCTGACGTCTTTTTTGTTATCGATGATCTCATCATTTTTCTTATTTCTTTTTTTTTTTTATTTTTTTTATTTTTTTTTTTTTTTTTGTAAAATCACGTTTATGTCAATTAATACGATTTGTTTCTCTTTTTTTTTGTTTTGTTTTTATATTCGGAAAGAATATCGAGCGTTAATGTATTATTTCTATCGTCTTTTTTTTCCTTTCTTTTCGTTTTCTTTCCCTGACTGAAAAAATTATTTTCAATGAGAATTATAATGCGACCTTCTTAAAAAAAAAAAAAACAATCTTCGCGAATTTGTTATTAAATTAATTGTTATTAAATTAGATTTTTGGGTAATATCAAATTTCTTTTTTTTCTTCCCTAATTACATATTTTTATATGGAAATTATAATCTGATACTTTTGGTATAATATTTGTTTATGAATCTCTTTTTAAATTAGTTGTCAGAGAGAAAGAGAGAATTAGAGAGAGAGAGAGAGAGAGAGAAGAGTCAATATTCTTAGAAATTTTTTGTCATAAGATAATGATAAGCTTTGGACAAAGACAAAGGGAAGTGAACATACGTGTGCTTTTAATGTAGCACGTTGATGGAAATCGTTAACGGGTCAGTCAGGGTGTGGCATTGGCATTAAAGCCTTTTGCCATTTAACCCAAACTGCTCTCTTCGAGGTTCCTGCGTGGTCACAATACATGACACCCACACACGACTTGTCGTGCTTAGTTCAGTTTCTCTCTCCTCTCTCTTTCTCTCTCTATCTCTTTTTTTTTTATTTCCCAAATCTCAAATAACGATCACTCGATATAAAAGGAAAATCGTGTGTTTTCATGATCGATCGTGTATATATATATATATATGTATCTATATATAATATATAAGATCATTAGGACGATTAGAAAATATCGATAAATTTTTCTAATAGATTTAAAAAATATTTTCTTGGTAAAAACACAGTCTTTTTTCTTTTTTTTTTTCTTTTTTCTTTTTTTTTTTTCTTGAACGAACATACTCGTTCATCCTCCTTTAGTTGGCTTTGTTCTTCTTTATTTTTCTCTTCTTAAAAATTTTTTTTTTTCTTTGTTTTATTTTTCTTTCTTTTCTTTTATATATACATATACATTTTTTTTTTTTTCATTACTTCTTCCTTTGAAACATAAGATTATTCTAAATAATTATACATTGTAATTAAGAGATAAAAGAGAATTACGTGTCGTGTTCGATCTTGGTTAATTGGGTTTTTTAATGGAAACGGGATATAAAGTCGGGAAAATTTTCTCAAGTAGAAATTTACTTACAGATACTCCTGAAAGCTAAGACCATTGTCGTCTCTGTTAGGCCAATCGCTGTAACATATTACTCGAACTTCACCATTAGCGAAGTTTTGTGTGTAGGTAGTGTAAAAGAGCAGCATTGGGAAAGAAAGAATGGCGCCGACGATCCAAATGACCACAGCGACACAAAGGGTAGCTCTTCGACCCATTCTTGGTCTCAATGGATTTACTATAGCCATGTACCTGTGGAGGAAAATAACGATTAGATTAGACAATCGTATTTTATGAATTTCACATTGTATCTTATTGTTATGGGAATGGCTAATATGAATCTTGAAAAATTCATTTATAAAACGATTTACTTTAGTTATAAAAAAGGCATGAATATATTATTTCGATATTAAAGAAAAGATTATTTTTATAAATCATCTTAACGATTAAAAGCAACGATTGTTAAAAAATTTTTTATAAATGTTTGTCAGAATATTTTTATTAATTGATTTTAATAATGAAATTAAATTAATTAAAAAATTGAATATTAGAAAATTTTAAATGATCGAAATAACAATCATTGAGAATGTTAAAAAAGATATTTTTCTTTAAGTTTAAATATTACGTTTAAATGACGATATTCTTTAAATTTAATTATCAATATATTATATATATATTATTATTATTGTTATTATTATTATTATTATTATTATTATTATTATTATTATTATATAGTATTAAAAATATTGATGGATACGAAATTGGAAAAATAAATGGGAAAGATAGCAATCAAAGTAAAAAGTTCTATGGTGTGGAGAGACAGTAAAAAGACAAATCGTCTTTTATCATCTGGGAAACAGGCTGGATAGGAAAGTTACAGATACCTCGACATCATAGAGCCGGGAGGGTTTTACAAGATCTAGAACTCGTAAAATTTCTGGACGATGAGCACGTTGCATTAGGATAATAGACCGGTTTCAAGAAAATCGTTTAAAAGGAGTTAAGAAAAGAAAAAAGTTTTGAGAATTCTAATTTTGTCTTCGGAAAGGAAAAAAGAAGAGAAAGATAAAAAGGGAAAAGAAAAGATAAGAAAAGAAAAGAAAAGAAAAAAAAAAGAAGAAGTAACAAACAAATAATTAAAGGAAATAAAATCATTCATATATTCTATAAGAATTTAGTCAAATTTTTTAATTGAATTTTACTAAAACAAAATTTTTATATTTACATTCGATATTGAGAGACCTCTTGAGATCGTTTCAATATCATAAAAATGAGAGAAATCGAAAATCGTTCGTACGATATCTCTCGTTTTCTATAGTTTATACTCTGAGAAAATAGGAAAAATGATATCATAGAGAAAGAGAGAGAGAGAGAGAGAGAAATCTAGAGAAATCTAGCTTCTCTAGAAATCTAAACGTGAGTGTTCGCTGCACGAGAAACGTGGAATTGCACTGGTGTCCGAACGGCGAATTGGAGTAATAAAACGAAGGAGGGTAGTTGCGAAATCCATTTTCTAATATATACCTAGGGGCGGTTTATTCGATTTAGTGAACGAAAGGAACGAATTCGAGTGTTTCACCTTTTGATAATAATATTATTATTATTATTATTATTATTATTATTATTATTATTATTATTATTATTATTATTATTATTATTATTATTATTATTATCATTATTATTATTATCATTATTATTATTATTATCATTATTATTGCTGCAAACTTCGTTATATAAAAATGGATTTTTTTTTTGGAAATCTCACGAAATATTCTTTTCCTTTTTATTTTTTTATTTTATATAATAATAATAATAATAATAATAATAATAATAATAATAATAATATCCTTTATTTTCTATTTCATATTCTTTCTCGTTTATTTTTTCTTTTCTTATCATTTTAATATTTCATCTTATCGAAAATCAATGTATTATCAAATTATATACCTTCTAATAATAATATAATACGACAAAAGTGTATTATGGAATTGAAAAGGGAGTTAATTACAATTGACTCGAATAAATTATCAAATATAAAGGCAACGGTTAATGATTTATAGGATGACTAAGCTAAACTGTGGTCAAACATCATTGTGTAAACCTAATAGACAATGCTCGATATTTGAGCGTTGAACTAATGGACACAAATTTGGTTTACTAGTCATTCTCTCTCTCTTTCTCTCTCTCTCTCTCTCTCTCTCTCTCTCTCTTGTAGTACCAGAGAGAATATTCATTAATCATACGTTCTATATTTGACATATGAGATTACATTACAATTATATTATTCAGCTTGATAAAATTAATGGCTATCAAAGGGAACAAGATTCGACGTTAGTCGAACTGTTGATTCATGTTGTTACACGACTAGAACTTCGAAACCTCATCACGTTTGTTTTCCAAAGGATTTAAGAGAGTTTCGTCTAACGTGTGCTTGCGAAGTTTGATCTATCTTGCGGGTAAACTTTCGATACTGCGTTCAAGAGAAAAGGATAATTAATCGAGAAACATTTTCCTATTATCAAATTTAAGATAAGATAAACTTATGATTTGTTCGTTGTTTAGTAAGTATAAAAGTATTTTTATTTCAAAATGTAGAATTAAAAATAAAAGATAAATAAATAAATAAATAAATTAATACATTAATTAATTAATTAATTAATTAAAATATCAAAATAAATGTTCGATTTCAAAATCGAGATGGATCAAGTGATTATGTCGTTTAAATGTAAATTAGTTGTTTAAAAAAAAATAAAATAAAATAGGGACATGAATTATCAGAATTACAACATTAAACTGCAATAAATATTCGAATTGAAAGAAATTCGATATGTATCAAGTGATTATTGTTCCATGACAAAATGCAAATCCTCTTCTAAATCCCACGACGACTAACGTATGATTAAGCCAGACTACTATAAGCTTCCATGATTCGATTGATTTTCAAATACAGTTTGATGCTATACACTTTAATCAGTGTATGTAATATTCAATGGTAATTAATGCAATCAGCAATTCTAAATCCTACGTATGTACTTGTAATATTCAGATATCTATGATATCAATCGATACGTGCTTTGAGATTATACAATTTGGTTCAATGAAAATTTTGATTTTCCACCGCCGGGGTAAGTAAACAAAATCGTTTAATACGTTTGATAAAAACGTATGTTGCATATCTACAGGAATAAATAGTTGCTTTATATAAAAGTATTACAATTAACGGAATAATTGTATATAAAAATTATATAAATTATATGTATACAATTGTTAAATTATTAATTAATGAAGAAAAAAAAAAAAACTCGAAGGTTCGAAGAAGAAACGTTTTCGATATAAAATAAATAAAATTTATTTCCATTAGAATTGTTATTACGTTCGTAAAAAAAAAAAGAGAGAGAGAGAGAGAGAGAGAGAGAAAAGAAAAAAGAATTTAAAAAAAGAAAAAAGAATTAAAAAAAAAAAAAAGAGGTTAAACAATAAAAAATTCTCTGTGTAATATAAAGTAATAAAAGAAAAATGCTTCGACATTTATGAAATGTCCTGAACAGAATTGTCGAAAGTTAACTTTTCCAAAGTGAATTTATTTCGATAATTTATCGAGGGAAAAAAATTTGAAAATTATTATTTTCATTAATATCATGGGAATTTTCTTTTGATTGTTTGATTTGCAATGAACAAATGAAAAATAGAAATTTTATATATGTTATTAAAATATCTTCGATATAACATTTACGTTATGTATTCGTAACGTTGCATAGATTGGACTCGATTATCGTCGTAAATTTATTCTTCCTTTTTCCTGTTTCTGTCGTATAACAGTGAGAACGACGTTTCTACGCTCGAAAAATTCGATTAAATTGTACGGGGTTAACGATTTCTCTCTCTCTCTCTCTTTCTCTCTCTTTCTCTCTGTCTGTCTGTCTCTTTCTCTGTTCCTTTTTCTCCATTCAATTCATGAAGACAACAACGAAACGTTCATCGTGTTTTTAGTTTAATATTAGTGAAACAATTGGAGTTGCTTGTTGATACTTTTACGATCACATTCGAGGACGTTTTCATTAACGAAAATATATATATATGTATATATTTTTTTTTTCTTGTTGTCATTGTTTTTCTTTTTCCCTTTCTTTTTCTTTTTTCTTTTTTCTTTTTTCTTTTATTTTTTTCTTTTTCTTCTTTCTCGCATAGCCACTTACAGGTAACAGGTGACCTATTTTCAATTATGAATTTATTCATTTTCCTTTTCTTCCTTTCTTCCTTTCTTTTAACGTTTAAGGTACGTTTTACGGTTGGAGTATTACACAGAAGTGACATTTATCAACGTAAATGTGAAAATCTTTTTTGTAAGTACATGTATACAATACTATGAATGTTTCCTTTGAAACTCTCTATAAAAATGATAGTGTCGATAATAAATGTTGAAAAGTATAAGTTCAAGTGGATGTTTCTCTCTCTCTATCTCTCTCTTTTTTGCTCTATCTATTTTTCTCTATCTGTCTTTGTCTCTCTCTCTCTCTCTCTCTATCTATATCTTTCTCTCTTGTAAAATAAAATGTAACTTAAATATATCTAGACACATAATGTTTCTTATGGTCGACATAAAAGTATGAAAGAGTTTCGATCAAGTGTTTTTATCTAACATTTTCTTCCGACATTCATAGAAAGTGAATAATACTTAAGATACACTATCCATTAAAAGAAACATGATGGATACTTGAAATTGGTATAACATTTATAGGATAAGTTTCTTCTTAGAAAGACATTCTTCTGTTATCGATCTTTTTCTATAAATAAAGTCAATTTTCTTTGCTTCACTCTTTCACTGTTCTATCCTCCATTTTCCTTTCTCTCTCTCTCTCTCTCTTTTTCTCTCTCTCTCTCTCTCTCTCTCTCTCTCTCTCTCTCTGTCGTTGCTCTTTTCTATAGTATTTCTCATACACCCATGTATATATATATATATATTTGTATATGTATCTACGTATCATACTTCGTATCTCTTCTCTCTTCCGTCATAGTATCTCTCAAAAGTTTCGAGAGCACCAGAATATTAGTTGTCACCTCGTATCGATGACATCTTGACCTGAAATTGTTACATCCTTGACATACTTATTTAAGTTCGCATAAGTGCCGGTATAAGCTTTATTAAAATTTTTGGTAACATTTATTACATTATTAATGATTCATTTCCTCGGAAAACAGTTTTATATTTGTCGAAATATATATATATATATATATATATATATATATATATA